ATGGGAAGATAGATTACAATCAATCGATTAATTGCAGATACTCCTCAACTGGTTATATGTATAAAGCACACCTATCCACAGAAATCAGTTTCTTCCAACCAAAGAGCTGTCAAAGGACATCAAGGAAGAGATTGTAGAGTTGCACAACACTGGAATGGACCATGAGACCATCAGCAAGAAGCTCGGTGAGAAAGGGACAACTGTACGGTAATGGAAGACACACTAAATGATCAACAGTTTCCCTTGGTCCATTACAGTACACTGTAATGGTCTTTAGTTTGTCACTGGGCATCTAAATGATTACAGAAGGCTTGGGAGAAAGTGCTGTGGTCAGATGAAACCAAAATCAAGCTCTTTGGCATCAGCTCAGCCCACTGTGATTGGAGGAAAGGAAATGCTGACCCAAAGATCACCCTCCCTGCATGGTAGTGGAAACATTATGCTTTGTGGCTGTTTTTCTGCTGAGGGTAATAAAACAGGGCAATAAATGAGTATACTGAGGTTATGGAGATGCCTAGTCATTCTCCAGACCTCAGTCTGACTGGAAATCTGTGGAGGGAGCAGCTTGGCAGCTTGTTTGTTTATCAAAATTAAACTGCCAAAATTAAACTGTGATCAAAATTAGAGACTGTTCATTTCTCTGTAAGTGGGGAAAGTTGCAAATTTACCGTTGTTTTGTACTCGGCCCAGCGCATCTATTACTGTGTCCAAATGAGGATGATCATCCGCTGTTTCCTGGAAAGATACCATCAATACTATGTCGCAAGTCACGTCTTAACATTTTATTAAGAAGGTGAAAACATCACAGTGTATTACCTCAAACAGGAAGGCGAGCAGAGCTATACCTGCTGTGTCATGTTCGGCCTCCGCCAGAGAGCTGTACGGCTCCTTAATGTGGACTATGTGCATCTGTATAAAGAAAAGAGTACTGTACTGCATCAAGGGCCCTTTCTGCTTTCAGAGATCAGATCAGTCACATAATTTTTTCAACAATGGATATAACAATATTAATAAAATGTTATTAATGACCCTGCTGTGTCATTGTGGTGTATCTGTTAGCCTTACTGAGATTTAAGGTAAATAAAAGGGAATAATAAGGGAATAAAACATGAAATTATTCACACTAACATAACTGCCATGCTTGAACATTTTTGATGTCAAAAAACCAAATCCATGTGCCAACAAAATTATTGACCTCTATTCAAATCTTTTTATAACTTTAATGATGACTCCTTTACCTCCATGGGGAATCTCTCTCCGTCAATGGTGTGCTCTGATCCTGGTCTCCCATTCCCTCCCCAGTGGAGGTGAAATTGGGCGGCTCTGTAGTGACCTGGCAGAGCTCCCCCAATGAATCGAACAGACGGCGGCAAAGCAAAGTGGGCTGCAGGGGCGAGAGATTGTCACTGAGCTCTCAGGTATTATGTTACTTTAACAGTTATTTTTATGTAAACATGTTGAAATTATTTGGTCGTTAAGGGAAAAAACACACTCTGTGTGTCAGACTGGATAAGATCGGCTCTTCATTACCAGAGTGCCCTTTGTTTTCCACTGTCATGTTGATTGTGTCGGTGTGGCCAATGAAGTTGAAAGGTGACAGGGCGATGTCGATGTGGACTTTGCTGGTCACAATGTTAATCGGTGACTGGCGTAACCCTCCGCATTTAGGGAATTGAGTAGCCCAGTGGTTGGGGTCTAAGCGACACAAACAGGAAAAGCAACAGCATCATCAGATTTTAGGCTTCACTGACCATACAGAGTGCTGCCTCTCAGAGAGTCCATGAAGA